CTGTTCTGACTCTTGGAGACTCCTTGCCAGGTTTTGCAGATATCGGCCTGGCAGCTCTCCAGATAAGATCTGTGACTGTAAATCCTCCCTTGAAAAACTTTTCTGGATGTGAATGAGCAGATTTCACAGTAAATTAATAAAAGGGTTTTTTTGTTGGGACAAGGAGTTTGCTTCAGGCTCTTGGAAAGCCTGGGTCAGAACAGAGCCCTTCAAGTTAGATGAGACTAGGAAACCATTGCTGTGGCTTGTAAAGTGAGTCACACCTGATTTAAAAACCTTTTTTGCCACAAAAAAATGATTAAGTGACTCATTAGGTAAATCACACAGTCATTAAGTGAATCTAATCTCTCCCCATTGACTTTGCTTGTCAGAAGCCAGTTGGTAAAGTCACAAATGGTGGTCATATGATAGAAATAGCAATAGCACTTATATGCCACTTCATAGTGCTTTTACAGCCCGCTCTAAGCGGTTTACAAAGCCTATTGCTCCAAATAATCTGGGTCCTCATTTTACCCACCTTGGAAGGATGGAAGGATGAGTCAACCTTGAGCCTGGTGGGATTCGAACTGCCAAACTGCAGCTAGCAGTTAGCTGAAGTAGCCTGCAGTACTGCACTCTAACCACTGTGCCACCTCGGCTCTCCTAAGCCCCTACAACCATTGTAAATACACGTTGGTTGCCAAGGAATCCCATTTTGATCACATTAATGTGGGGGTGCTGTGAGGCTCATAAATGTGGAGACTGCTCATAAATCACTTTTTTCAATCATTGTAAAGCTTGATTGGTCACTAAACAAGTGGTTGTAAGTCCAGGACTACTTTTCTTGTGGTGCTATAGTGACAGAGTTTTGCAAATTTGAATTAGCTTCTCCCCTCCCTTTATCTTCAGGTTCTTCATGTGAACCTAGGGAGGTACCAGTCTGGGATGTTTCCTGATGCTACATTCTTGCTGTGGCCTCATCCACCTCTTATCTAATCCTTGCTTTGGTAATGATTCTTTCTCCTGTTCCTCACAGTCATTCCCTCTGACCTCTACAGATTCTTTATCATACATATTCCATTCAAGTGCATATATACCCTACTTTCCCAGGATCTTGAAGGGCTAAATTATGGAACCATTCCAAAATTGAAAGATCCTGTATTCCCAAATAATTCATACAAAAAAAAAGATGCAAATAATAAGCACCAAATCTATGCCTGTGAATATGCTAATGTGGAAACAGAGCATGAAATCTCATTCCCGTTGAAAGATTCAGGATGAGTAGAGTCATCCTAAATGAAGACATCACCTGTTGGCTATCCTGGCCAGCTGCCACGTTTAAGCCAGTAGCTGCCATGTAAGTGCTTCCAATGGTTTTGATCTTCTCAACCCCACTGAATTTCGGTTTCAGAAGCAGCTATTAAAAGAAAGACAGGAAATTGTTTATTCCGATAGTTCAAATGCTAAGACATTTTTGTATATCAATCATTTATCTAGCTTAGAATTTTTCTCTGAAAGATATTTAGTCAGATGCACTATGAGTCTGAAGTATGATGGCGATACAATCAGGCCGAGGTCATCTCCAGGCATGGATGCTTCTTACAATTCTGAGACTGAAATAATGAATGTTATACAATTTATTGCAACAAACTCCTACTCCCTTCTAATATTTATAAGCTTAGTTTGGTAATGAAGCATCTGCTAGAAAACCACCAACTTCAGAGAGCACCAAGGACCCCACAAATTACAGTTTTACAATTGCAGAGTTTCTTCAACTAGATATCATCCATGGTGATATTAGGTTTCTACAAGTCATATCAGGGGTGGGGCCAGCCAGTGGTGGGATGAGCCAGTTCTCTGAACTGCACACAAAGTTAGCATTAACTGGCTGACCAACTGCACTCAATGTGTAGTCCTCAATGGAACTGCATCTNCTGGGGGGGCAAAAATGAGCAAAAAAATGACCCTTTTTTGAAAAAAAATGGGGCATACAGAGGCTTTGTAGAGTGCTCCTGGAGGCTGGGGGTGAAACGAGCAAAAAACGGCCCATTTTTTGCTCGTTTTTGCCCTTTCCCATCCCAAGGAATATTTTGCAGGCCTCCCAAACCCTCCGCATGTCCATTTTTGTGAAAGGGGCAGGTTTTCGGGAGGCTAAAAATGCTGTATTCAGTCTATAAGATGCACCAAGATTTTCACCCTCTTTTTTTTGGGGGGGGGGGAAAGGTGTGTCTTTCATTCTGAAAAATATGGTAAATATATATCTTATTATCAATAAAAGTTTGCTGTTGTTTTAAATTCACTGGATCTCTATGTATTTTAAAGAACTATTTGTGCCTCAGTGTTCAACTGAAAGTGATTTGTGTGTGGCCATTTTCTTGGCCTGTGTGTACATGAATGAGTGACCATAATCGAGACAGCCCTGCTTTTTTTTTGTCATTCCTACCTGGTTCCAGATGGAACAATTGAGCCGCCGCGGCAGAAACAGCTGGGAGGGACATGCACATTGAGGCAGCTAAATCAAACAGGGATCATCGAGAACAGTTGAGAGGTGGCCGTATGTGCACTGGGGCGGCTAAATCATACAGGGACGGCTGAGAGGTGGCTGCATGTGCCCAGGACTTGTTTCCTGGTGTCGTGGGGGGGATGACATGTGTGTGGGGGGGGTAAGGTGGGTCAGCGGGAACATTTAAAGGTGATGGGGAGCACTGGACAGATAGCCCTGACTATATTTCATTGCTTTGCTTTGTGTTCATTGTTGGTCAGTTCATGCCAGAGCGGGGGATAAAATTTCTACAAACCGGGACTGTGTTTGTGGTGTTTTCTTCCGACCTACCGGAACCTGACACTGAACCTGAGAGCACACTTGTATAATAGTGCCAACATTTTTCATAGCTCAGCTACTGAAGAAAAATAACGTGATTTGCATACCAGCTTCCACTTTTCTCCAAAAAATATATGCCCTGTTTTCATCGTATCGTGAATTCATAGCCAAAGTATGTTTATACGGGAAGGAATTTTCTTAGTTCATGCTCAGTTTATTAACACTCACCCACACGGAGTTTGAAAGAGTTGAACGAATGCTTGTTGATAATGTCCAACTTGGCTACCAATGCCATGGCAAACTCCACCATGGTTCCCAGGTGAGTGTAGCTCCATTCAATGTCCTGCACAAATTATCCGTGTAGATGGATGTATCAATGCAAGCCAATGGATAGAAAATGTAAAAACAAAAAAAACAAAACAGAGAGACAGATTCACACAGGTAAATATTAAGAGGAAAGTGGCTTAGCACAAATTGATCAAGTAACAAAAGTACCAAAGATGTGTTTTCCTAATANTTAGGGTTAGGGTTAGGGTTAGGGTTAGGTTTAGGGGTTAGGTTTAGGTTTAGGGTTAGGGTTAGGTTTAGGGGTTTGGTTTAGGGTTAGGTTTAGGGTTGCATTTTACTGATCACTTGGGAAGGCACGGATTTGCCCTCCGCGCTTATGTTGGCGTGGTAGGGTCGCATTTCATTTAGCGCTTCCGACAGCGTGGATTAGCCCTTCGTGCTTATGTCGGCGTGGATAAGGACTTCGCAGTATTGTTGGTGAACTGCCTGTTTCCCTGAAAATAAGACTTCCCCGGATAATAAATCCAATCTGGCTTTTCAGCATATGCACTAAAATAAGCCCTCCCCAAAAATATTGCAACACGGCAGCAGCCGCAAGGTGACCACGTTCGCTGCCTCCTGCACCTCAAAAATAATAAGACCTCCCTGAGGCCAAGTGCTTATTTCAGGGGTCAAGACCCTGTCTTATTTTCAGGGAAACGTAGTACAATTACTAATAATCATTCTAATGCATTTCAGACAAGGTCATTCTTTTAACTTTCCTGCAGAAGACAGGAAACAAAGCATGGATTGATTCCGCAGAAGATGTATCTGGGGTTTTTTTAGTTGGGGAGGGGGTACTTTCTCAATTATGTTTTTTCTTATCTGAATCAAAAAGTGGTCCATTTTGTGGTATCATATTTGCATATACTCTTATCACTTGCAAGCATGTGGATAGTAAACAACTGTTAGTCCGTACGCATATGCCTCCTGACTATAGTAAGTGTAGCTCAGGGGCCTCCCAATTTGGCAACTTTAAGAATTGTGGACGTCATCTCCCAGAATTCCTCATCCAGTAGTTGCCAAGTTTGGAGACCTCTTGTCTAGGTTATTGTGTAGAATATCAAATGATGGCAAGGAATTGACGCAGTTCTGATTTGCTAAGCTGCAGCCCACATGAATGAAGGCCACAAACAAGGCTACTCCAGTCCTTGATGTGTGATTCCAGGTGGGTGGGTGACGCTTCATAAGCACGTCAGGCATAGATTATTTTCTCTCCTACTCTAGTGGTGTGGTCGACCTTGATGCAATCAGCCACAATGTGAACATGCACTATGTTCCTGTAATCTATTGGCATTCAGCTCAAAAACCTTGAACCAAAAGTACAACTGCATTGTACACCTCCCTGTGCAATAAGGATAAAAACAAGATCATTTTCCTATCACCATTTCACTGATAGAGGTAGACATTTTCAATAGCTTGGCAGCCTGTCTCCAGCAGAATTCAGCCAGAGGTTTTTGGGATAAACATATGTAGATCTTCATCTCCCTTCCTTTGATCCATGAATTCCAGGAACAAAGGAAAGGATGCTTCCTTTCCATATTACTATTAGGATGAAAAAGGGACACAGTGGCTCAGTGTCTAAGATGCTGAGCTTGTCGATCAGAAAGCCGGCAGTTCAGTGGTTCGAATCCTTAGCGCTTCATAATGGAGTGAGTTCCCGTTACTTGTCCCAGCTTCTGCAAACCTAGCAGTTCGAAAGCACATAAAAATGCAAGTAGAAAAATAGGGACCACCTTTGATGGGAAGGTAACAATGCTCTGTGCATCTTTGGCCTTTAATCATGGCAGCCACATGACCATGGAGACGTCTTCGGACAGTGCTGGCTGTTTCGCTTAGAAACAGAAAGGGACTCTGCGCCCCTAGAGCCAAAAATGACTAGCACACATGTGAAGGAGAACTTTTACCTTTAACTTATTAGAAGGAAGAACCATGGTAGATGTTCCTTTCAGGAACTTAGCAATAGCAATAGCAATAGCAGTTAGACTTATATACCGCTTCATGGGGCTTTCAGCCCTCTCTAAGCAGTTTACAGAGTCAGCATATCGCCCCCACAGTCTGGGTCCTCATTTCACCCACCTCGGAAGGATGGAAGGCTG